ATTAATTCCTTCAGTTCCTTACACACAGAACAAGGGCATCCCCTGGAAGTTGAGGTGGTGGCAGGTCAAGCACCTCTGACTCGGGAGTGTCTCGCTAAGGTTGAGCCTAACTACGGTCTCGTGCACATCTAACAGATTCAGAGACACTCCGTGCTTGCACCTCTAGCACGGAGCCAGTGTCAGGAGGTAACGACCCCTCCGCTGGACATGGGGCCCCGCCAGGCCCAACCCTGCCTGCACAGCCAGGCTGCGCGAGGGGCACGGCCAGACCCCCCTGAGCGCCGGGCAGGGCCACAAGCCAGCCTTCACAGGTGGGTGTGAAACTGCAGCAGCTTCAACGGACGCCAGAGAAATGCTCCATCAATAACCCCATCGAACAGCAGTGGCAGAACCTGCCTTTAAAGACAAACCCTCCAGGGAAATGTGCTTTATCTACATTACAGGTCAAGTACACATTAACTTACACATGTTTTACTTCCCATCTTATCTGATTAGGAAAGTCTACACCTGGCCTTGGACAACGACTGTGTAACAGGACCCTAAAAACACTCGTAGAAAACCAACTTTAAACATTAAGCTAATTTCACGCATCCTTTCAGCCACAGAATGACTCCAAAAGTTAATTTTTAAGCAAATTCATTTCAAAGGAATGTCTGAATTAATAATTAATTTTTTACATTTACACGAACAAGCTGACTACCCAAATATTATGCATGATATTACTGAAAATAGTTAAGGAGGAATGTCTTCCAGCACAGGAAGCACTGTCCAAGTTTAGTCATCCCAGCTTGCATCTACCTGCAAGCTACTTGCATCGAAGATAAAAACACACCACGGGATAAAAGCGGTTTCATGGCACGGATGTAACAAAACAAGCACCGTCACGAAGCCAGCAAATACTGTACCAAAAAATCACAAAGCCAGATAAAAAGACGTCCCCTGCCCTGGAGAGTTTCGCAGTCTATTCAGACAGATGTAAGACAAGTGATGGGGATGTGAAAACAGGGTAACAAAGCTGGCAACCTACTGCGATCGGGGAAATATTTCAAATACTGAAACCACCATGTGGCTTAAATTTCCGTTACAGTAAGCGTGGGTCTAGGCAATAGGACTCAAAAGTCTCAAAACCAACTCACCTCATGCTAAATTAGGTCCCTGGCCACAAAGTCGGCTCTCTGGACTCTACTGACTGCTCAGACTAGTCCCTCACCGACCCTGGGGCTGCCGAAGCAATCGCTGCACAGGGAACCAAAAGGAAGCCCTCTTCTTCCTCCCTCGTGCACGGTGACAAGCAGCATTTGCTTTGCCCTCTAATAAACATCCTCCCTGACATACCCCTTTTCTAAACAGGCTGCTCCCTTCCCTCGCAGAGGGCAAGGATGCAGTACCTACATTAAATCATGCTTTGCCTTTCACTGGGGCACCGCTGCAGCCAGACCTTATCTTTTACAGACACTGATGGAAAAAGGAATCACTGGAATTTGAACACCTGGGTGCCACTACTATTTCAGAGTGACAAGTGCCACCAGCACCAGTTAAACAACCACTGTGGGAGGGAGGGGAGGGATGCTCGATGGCTACAGCAGCCTAAGCGGCCTCAATTGGTAGATATTGTAGAGACAAAGCTACTCCTTGAGCCAGGTTCAACTTACGTTCGACAATATATCCTGAAAGAGCTTGGGCAGGTAGTCAGCTGTTAATTCACAGCAATTTTTAAAACCACAGCTCCTAAAAGCCACTTGAAGAGCAACTGTCAAACCTTATGTCTGCCAGGAGTGCCCACTGGCAAAGCAGCAGCTTGCCATTTCAAATGGACTGAACCAAATTTTCCAAATCCACTGATCACAAAGTATTATCTGCTGCACAGTGCCAGCCTTCAGATGTCTCTTTGTAACAGCTTTTGATACAGTTCACATCGGGTGAACTACCACCACTAAAGCCAGCTGGGAACGTGGGCCTGGTTCTGGTACCATGCTCATCCATGCCCAAGTCAAAACCGGCAACTTTCCAATTCTATCGAACGTGACATCAAATGTTATTTTTGTCACTACTTTCCATGGAAGGAAAAGCTACCTGGAGAGAAGGTAAAATTCAGTGTGAAATGAATTCTGGTTAAGTGGAGGTTTCAGGTTATTCAGAGATCTCTCAAGTAAGAGTGCAAAAGGAGCATTAGCAGTTTCCTCTGGTAGGGCGCAGCTGAGGAAGTCTTCATATCCTGACACCTCACAGTTACAGATCTGCTTTCTACCAACTTAAATATGCAAGAAAACAACATAAAATGGAAGCAAGAGGTAAACAGAACAAGTCAGAAAGCAGAGGGAAGCGACAGGAACAAACAGAATCTCTAGGAGGCACAGGACGTCTTAGAAAAAGTCATGAGATGCAAAAAAAAAAAAAGTTCTTATTAAAAAGGAATAAACACAGTACATGACAAGCAGGATTTTCTCCCTGTAGATGAATTTTTCATTGCCACCTACTGTATCCTATGTGGCAGCAGCAAAAGCAAAGCAAGACTGGTGAACTCTGTCGAGTCCCAGCAGTGGTGGAGGAGCGGAGAGGCGGGAGGGTGACCTGCACGAGCAGCCCCCGCTCAGAACAGCGCTTCCACCCCGCAGAGCCCGGGAAGGATTCTGCTCTAGTTCTGCAAAACTGGACCACGCAAATGTTAGTGCTGCATCCATTCATAAGCAGGAACAAAGTGAGATATTTGGCACGATACGGAAGGGTGTAAGAATGGCTGATCACAAAAGGAAAATGTTAATTTAAACTCAAAGTATTCGCATGATGTTATGTAATTGGAAGAGTCTTCCAAGGAGAAAAGAAGAAAAGCTGTCATCCCACGATGAGCCAGCCAAACGGACAGACGCTGGGATGACGAAGAGACGAGCCAAGTGGTTGTCAGACGTAGGAAGCCAGTCTGAAGGTCTTTTATTTCTTCCTGCCAGGCTTCACATGCAGCAGGTAACTGGCTCTCTTACAGGAGAGCCTCCCGCAGCCTGCTCGGGCTTTGCCCACCTCTGACAGCAATACTGTCAACAAAACCAACCCCCGCCACAGGCACACCCAGCTCTCCAGATCCCCAGCACTTAGGCTGGTTTTCATCTCAGTATTATGAGATGGGATTTATGCCCAGGAAGCTCATACTACACAAATAAAACCACACAGAGTCTAAAAAACTTTTATCGTATCAGTATTGAGGATGCTCCCTAGCAAAGCCAATGCCTCCTTATCACTGCCTTGAAGCCGTGAATATGCAGCTACTTCCCCAGGTCAAATTTAAGTTCACACCATTTCTAAATGCACTTTACTTAGGCCACAAAATATAAATTAATTGCTTTGCCTCCCTCCCTCCGGGGTTGGAAGCTTTGGGCACTCCCCCCAGTTTACAGGGATACATACAACCACATGTACAAAAAGGTTAAAAAAAAACAAACAAAAAAACAAAACCAAACCATTTTCACAGCACCTAGCTGGCCCTGAGAGAGGGCTTCTTGGGCAGAGGATCTTCCACTATTCCAAGGGACAGCCTGGTTTTGGTGCGTGTATAGGCTTGCTTTTTGTTCACAGGCTCAGAAAAACACAAACCCAGCCAGCAGCAGCACAGAACTCAGACCCACTTGCCGAGAGAATGCTGGCAATTAACTAGTATTTCTACAAGTTACATTAATTAATACCGAAAAGCTGTTAGAAAAAGGAAAACCTTCTTGCTCTAGAGGTGTTTCCTAATAACTGGTTGTCCAGACCCTATCTGCTTTGTGGATAACCCAAGGCAGCCTGGTGGCCTGATTCATTGACTCAAAAAGATACAGATCTCCTTAGGAGCCCGAATAACAGTAACGCACACTGCAGGGAAGGACACGGGCACGCGGGCATACAAGTGTATACTTGAACTTCAGAGTTTTTACACTACACTAATGTTAACTCACTTTCCTTTTTATGAGGAGGCTATTAAAGCTCGCCGTCACAAAGCGGCACTGTTCATGACCTCATCCAATACAGGAACAGGTTACTAAGCAACTAAGAATTAAACTAAACAAATAACTAAACTCTGAATATGTAAAGCTGGTAGTGAGGAAGTCTATTTCATACAGCTTTTGATTTTCTAAAAACATTTACTTGCTTAAACTCACTCACTGGAGATCAAGTTACGATAAATTAAAGCTGTTGAGCTTCGAAAAAACCCACACCAAAACCGAACAAAAACCCAACACAACAGGAAACCTACCCTACACGGGTACATCCCCCAGGTCTCAAACGCACCGATGGTTTCCAAAATATCCCAGAACAGAGCCACTGCCACCGTAAAAGGCACCTCAACGATTTCTCAAAGCTTCCTTCCCTTTTTAGCCTCCGACACGGTCAGCAAGTGGTAAAAACAAAACCGGGCTCAATCAGAATTGCTATTTCAGCCTGACCTACATTCTTCCCCGTCAAATCAGAGCGAGGAACGAGAGGCACAAAGATTTTTTGGCAATCCCCAGGTTTGGCTAGGGGTCAGCACAGTGCCAAGAAGCACTGGCTCAGCCCCACACCAGGGCTCTGCCTTCAATCTGTCAGTTTTCCTCCAAACACCTTCTGTATTTCGGGAAGTCTTTGCAGTCGGTCACTCGGGTACTCTCAGCCGCAACCGCACCAAGAGAAGCTCTGAAATACCTTCCCCGCTCCCGTCCTCATCCCGTGGGTCTCAGCTAACCCTCGTCAGAGGCAGGTCGTTACACTTCGAGGTAAGAAGTGTGTCCTGCTGCCCAGTTAACTTTAACCAAAGATTCTTTTTTAATGTAGGTGATCGTCTGGTTCCTACTCGTGTTAAACCTGACACACCGAGTTCTCAAATTTGCCTTCCCAGATCAACATACACACAGAGCTCCTCGCATGTACAGTATCAGCAGTGTTAGTCACGCCTGACAAATACCTGTCATTTAATAAACCTTTGACAACTTTTAAATGTCCCTTTGGCACACGCTTAGAACAAAGGAGCCCTGCGAGCTACGAGTACGTACCTGCTCCACACCCTTTGCGAAAGGCATCTTGACTCCTGAAGCACCTTCCCTGTCTCCAGCGTGCTCGTTCTCCCAGGGCAGTTTGTTTTTCCCTTTACCTGCACTCAAGACTCTTCTTGGACTTATCCCCTGCTCGGCACACGCAGCGTGGGCGCCGGAGCTCTGCAGAGCATCGTCCCTGGCGTGGTACCCGCAGTAGCTGTGCGCGCTCTGAGTCCTGCTGCCCATCAAGAGCCAGTCCGTATCTGCTCCGGGGGGCAAACAGAAGCCCCTGTTATGGCCAGATGATGGCAAGGGCACAGCGTACTCCACAAACCCTTGGTCTACGAGCTTCGGCAAGGTCTTTCTGGCCAGCCTGGCCTGCACTGCATGCATCACCCCGTCCCCGTTGTCCTCGAGCTCCACAGAATCCACCGCCTTAAAGAGAAGGGTGCTCTGGCCTGGGCCCAGGGAAGCCGCCAGCACAGCAAACGCTTCCATGGCAGCGTGCCGGACCCTGCGCTTGCCGTCCACCAGCGCCGGAGCCAGCCCGAAGGCCAGCTTGGCCAAGTCCAGCTCCTTGCTGGGGTAAGTGAGAAGGGCCACGATGCAGATGTTGACCACCTCCTCGCGGACTTTGGAGTTCTTGTGCTGCAGGTACTCCCGCTGCAGCAGCAGGCCCAGCACCTGCTGAGGACCCGCTGCCCTCATCAGCCGCAGCAGCAGGCGGTTGTACTCCTGCCGGATGGCCACCTTGTTGTCCCCCAGGACTTTAGCAGCAGCGGAGACCAGAGGCGCCAGGAAGGCCTGGACCTGGTCGCCCAGGCGCAGGGCCAGCAGATGTACCACCTCCAAGGCCCCGAGCACCACCTTGAAGTTGGAGTCATCCAGGAGGGTGTAGAGGAAGCTGATGAGCCCCAGCAGGCTGGGAGCCGGCGCGGAGCTCACCGCGGCCTGGCTGGTCCCTCCGACCACCCTCTTCAGCTCCTCCACCGCCTGCGTGCGGTTCCTGTAGTCCTCCTGGTCCAGGAGGCGAGCGTGCAGCTCCGGCGACAACAGCCCGAACTTCAGGCCGGTGCCGCCGGGCCGGGCGGGGGGCGGCGGGGCCGTGCCCTCAGCCACCAGCCGACCCTCCAGCAGCCGCT